CCAGCAGGTTCTCTCCCCCTCCCCTGCCCGCCCACGATCAAGTGTGTCCAGTATTTTGGCGGGGTCTACCTGGCAACCCTACACCTGTACCATTCTCTTCCCAGACTACTTAAAGTGCTTCCAAGGGAACATTTGATGGTGGGGCCTGTTGCCTCCCCGGGCTGTTTCTCTGTACTATAGCGGTGACTGACATCATTCTACCAGCAGGTTCTCTCCCCCTCCCCTGCCCGCCCACGATCAAGTGTGTCCAGTATTTTGGCGGGGTCTACCTGGCAACCCTACACCTGTACCATTCTCTTCCCAGACTACTTAAAGTGCTTCCAAGGGAACATTTGATGGTGGGGCCTGTTGCCTCCCCGGGCTGTTTCTCTGTACTATAGCGGTGACTGACATCATTCTATGTCAACCAAAACCCAGGAAGCTGCTGATGCAGTTTCATGGTTGGGTGTAGTTTGGGCAACAACATTGAAACCCAATTTCTAAAATCTATAGATTTACATGCTGTACACAGTGCTTGTGTGTATGGTGCTATATATGTGCATAAAACCCCTCCCATCCTCTGGATATCCTGGTCCTATGTACCATAAGAGAGAAATACAGGTGCTACCACCATATAATACATTCAAACCAATATATATCAAGAGGTTGCTCTTTTTCAGACACACATAACAGAAGTTTAATGGAAAATAATAAAGAGCAATGTTATTTGATAAAGCACTTCAAAACAGTACATTGTATAGTTTCAGCAAGTTACCATATAATAAATACATTTCTATAAGGACAATATGCTAAAATATATTTATATCAAACATACTGTCACATGTTAACAATAAAGCAAGAATTTTGGACTGAAAAAACTCCTGAGTACTATTTCCAGTTTCCCCACTAATTGTATAGTTTTGACCAAGTCACTTTGTCTCTATTGAGGATGTCTTATTGACATTTGTAAAGCACTTTGAAACTCTTTGATGAAAAGTGCTATAGAAGACTTAGACTTAGTCCTGTGGCACTTTATATATATACATATATATATATACACACACACACACTATCATGAGCCTTTGTGGGCAAAACCCACTTCTTCATATGAGATAATCTTGAGTGAAGAAGTGGGTTTTCCTCATGAAAGCTCATGTGATGCACACTGTCTCTCTCTCTATATATTTATATATATCTATATCTATATTTGTTAGTCTCTAAGGGGCCACATTGTTTTTAAAGTTACAGACCACATGGCTACTCCTCTGAAACTAATAGAAGACTTAGGATAAACTTAAAAAACAACAAATAGTCTGGTAGCACTTTAAAGACTAACAGGCAATCTAAATATACTACATTGACACACTAACCATATTACACACAAGACTATGCAAAGCCACAGAACTACAGATCCCATCATGCATTTGAAATATACAAATTGGACTCCTCCCCCCCCCCCATGTTGATTTTTAAAATTGCAGCCAATGATAAATCAGGGATGCTTTGTTTTCAAAAACTAGCTGTAGCCACACACTCTTAGTGCTTCAGGGCGCCTCCTCCTTCAGGGCTGACCTCCAAAGGAAACAAATTGCATCATGTACTACAAATAGCTGAGAACAGAAAACCAGGTCAGAGCAGTTCATTCAGCTAGAATAGCAGTGTATACTACTGCCTCTGCACAATTGTGGTATGATATCTGTTGTGGATGATACTGACACAAAATGTGGTATTTAATCACTGTGATGATAATATTTTAGCCATGACTAATATATTACCAGTACGATGATTACTATAACTAATTATAAAAATGGAATTTATATAAAAGGCAATGAAAGGAAGATGAAAAAGCTCTCTGAACTAGAACTCAGGAATCCTGACTATTTAGTGTGTGTCTACTGTGGGTTTTGCTCAACAAACCTCATGATACTGTATATATTTTAGTTAATCTCTACGGTGCCACAGAACTACTCGTCATTTTTGAAGTTACAGACTAATACGGCAGTCCTTCTGAATCTATATATATAGGTGAACCTGAAACACCCTGGGTGCGTCTAGACTGGCAAGATTTTGCGCAAAAGCATTTGATTTTGCGCAAAAGCATTTGCTTTTGCACAAAATCTTGCCGCCTGTCAACACTGGCCGCAAGTATTTGCGCAAGAACCACTGATTTTGTACAGATCGGCTGTGTCTACATTGGCACCCTTTTCTGGAAAAGGGATGCTAATGAGACCAGTTGGAATTGCAAATGCCGCGGGGGATTTAAATATCCCCCGCGGCATTTGCATGAACATGGCTGCCGCTTTTATCTGGCTCGGGGTTTTGCCAGAGAAAAGTGCCAGTCTAGATGGGATCTTGCGGAAAATAAACCTACTTGCAAGTAGGAATAAGGGATCTTCCGGAAAAGGGTTTATTTTCTGCAAGATCCCATCTACACTGGCGCTTTTCTCCGGCAAAACCTCGAGCCGGAAAAAAGTGGCAGCCATGTTCATGCAAATGCCGCGGGGGATATTTAAATCCCCCGCGGCATTTGTAATTCTGACTGGTCTCATTAGCATCCCTTTTCCGGAAAAGGGTGCCAATGTAGACATAGCCTACAGGTATTCTTGCACAAGAGGGCTAGTGTAGACAGGCAAGTTAATTTCTTGCGCAAGAGAGCGTCTACACTGGCACGGATACTTTTGCGCAAAAGACATCTTTTTTGCGCAAAAGCATCCGTGCCAGTGTAGACACTCTCTTGCGCAAATACTTTAACGGAAAAACTTTTCCGTTAAAAGTATTTGTGCAAAATCATGCCAGTCTAGATGCAGCCCCTGGGGAAAAGCAAGGGAGGGAATTAAATGGGTTCCTTATAAATTGGATCCCCCCCTTGCATTTTTGTATACCATAGTATCAAGGCAGATAGATTTATTCTGACACCTTTTAACTTGGCTAGGAGAACAAACCAATCTTGGCTACCATCATGCCACAAACTAAAGGCCAGGTAGAGGTCTTTCTAGTGATCGCTCACTGAAAACAGGAAGAGATGTCAGCTACAGGGTCTTTTTTATTTTTGTTCTGTGTTGAGATCCGCTTGAGTGGAACAGGGTCTTGTCAATGGACCCTTGGGTGTGGACCAAAGACAATGACTTATTTTTCTCATACTATTGATGAAACTAACTTGTGAGAAGAAGGGGATTAATCTTCCATAACACACCATTTCCCTGTTTTTAATGTGCATTTCCAGCTGGTTTGCTATAGGCAGCATTGTCTAGTGATTAGCACAGAGGAGAGATTGAAATGCAGGGCTCCTGGAATTTACTTCCCACTCTACAACAACATCACTGTGGCTACGTCTACACGATCAGTTTGCTTGGCAAAAAATATGCTAATGAGAGACTCATTTGCATTAGTTACAATCTCATTTGCATATTTTCTGCCAATCCATTTTTGCGCAAAAACAGTGTGGACGTTACGTTTTCTTTTTGCGCAAGATTCTTACGCCCGAAAAAAGGAGGTTTACCGATCCTGCGAAAAAAGCGGTTTTTGTGCAAAAATAAAATGTCCCCACAAGGCGGGCGGAGGGAACACTAATGTGCCCTAAGAAAAGATGGCGCCGGCGGGGTCACGGCCACCGGAAGGAGCAGGGACGTGAATGTCCCGTGATGCCCCGGGGCGGCGGCCATTGCGCAAGATTCTTACGCCCGAAAAAAGGAGGTTTACCGATCCTGCGAAAAAAGCGGTTTTTGTGCAAAAATAAAATGTCCCCACAAGGCGGGCGGAGGGAACACTAATGTGCCCTAAGAAAAGATGGCGCCGGCGGGGTCACGGCCACCGGAAGGAGCAGGGACGTGAATGTCCCGTGATGCCCCGGGGCGGCGGCCATTCAACTTGGGGCCGGGAGTGGGCAGCTGAGCGTGAGGCCGAAGATGGCGGGGATGGGCCGCCAGGAGCGCGCAGGTGAGGGGCGGGCCCGGGCTCCTCTCCCCTCCCCACCCGCGCCGAGCGACCTCTCCCCTCTCCACGCAGCTGACCTGCTCCAGACCGAGCCCCCGGAGGCCCC